TCGGATCCAACCTGATAGCAGTGAGGTTGTTTATGGTGTTAGGTGTACATGCTGGAAGAGTACAAAATCCCCACTTTGCACTTTTTTTGCCATTTCTGTTCTGACATCTGCTGTACTTGCAGCACTTCCTCCTCTGACACCACCCGGAGCGAGGCCAGAGCTCCCAAGTTACAGGGTACAGTCCTCCAGACGGCCAAGTTGGCCCCAGTCCTCAGATGCCAGCCACAGGCTCGGGGTTCCCCATGGCACCCTCACTTCTGACCTGCTGGCTACAAGTTCAGAGAGGTTCTTTCTATTCTCAAGGTACCAGCTGTAAATAAGCTCAGGGGCCCTCAGTGCCCCTCATTTCAGAGCTGCTGGCCCTCACTACTCTCTCAGGTGCGATAATTTACTAGCACACCTGCAGAAGCTACGGAAAGTGCTCTGTTTAGGATTACAATTTTATTACAAAGAAAAAGATGCAAAGGAAGAGACACACAGGGCCAGATCTGGGAGGGTTCCCATCCTGGAGAGGACTGCTACCCTCCCATGTACACACGCTACCCTCCCATGTGCACAGGTGTTTTCCCAACCAGGAAGGCCTTAGAGCTTTCATTGGGGGTGTGTCTCATTAGTAATTCAGTTTCCAGCCTCTCTCCCCTGAGGTTAGTTGATACCACAAGGTGATTAACATAACCTGTTAGGTTAGGTGCGGTCTGGAGCCCTCATCAAAATATTTAAGATTACTGGGGAAATGCCAAGGTTTTAGAGGTTATCTCTCAGGATCCAAGGGCAAAAACAATTCTTTAGATACAGTTCTCAGCCCCACAATGTAACTCAGTGACCTTAACTGCATGTGCCATGTTGTACAACTTTCACCACTGACCCAAAAGTTTTCATCACCTCAAGTGGAAACTCAGTGCCCTTAAGCAATCACTCCCCGTTTTCTTCTCCCACTGGCCCTGGTCACCACCTCAACTTTCGTCTCCGTGTGTTTGTCTGTCCTAGACGTTCCATGCAATATTTGTCCTTTGGTGTCAGATTTATTTTCCTGAGTGCCTAGTGTTTCCAAGGTTCGTCTATGTTGTAGCATGTATCAGAACTCCGTACCTCTCTCTGACTGAGTGATAGATACTCCCTTGTATATCTCAACCACATTGATCCTTTCTTCCCTTTGTGGACACTTGGGTAGCTATTTTCCATAGTGCTGCCATGAATATTGGTTTCCTAGTATCAATTTGGGGAGCTCTGGTAGCATAGTGGCTAAAGCACTTGACTGCTAACCAGAAGGCTGGTGGTTCAAACCCACCAGCCACTCCTCGGAAGGAAGGTTGGGCAATCTACTTCTGTAGAGATACCACCTTGGAAACCCAAGGAGGGGTCGCCCCCCAGCCACTCCTCGGAAGGAAGGTTGGGCAATCCTACTTCCGTAGTGATACTGCCTCGGAAACCCAAGGAGGGGTCGCTATGAGTCGGGGCCGACTCGATGGCACACAACAACAACAACAACAGTATCAGTTTGAGTCCGTGATTCCTAGTGTTAGCTCTTTGATTTTTTTAAGTCCAAATGGCATTTATTTGCTTTAAGAAAATAGCAACAGTCAGAGGACACACACTCCCTATTGGGGGCAGTTCTACTCTGTCCTACAGGGTCACCATGAGTCAGAATCATAGCTGGAAGGCAATGGGTTAGGGACACCACGTTGTTGTTGTTGTTATGTGCCATCGAGTCGGACCCCCATAGTGACCCCTCCTTGGGTTTCCGAGGCAGTATCACTACGAAGGAGTGGCTTTGCACTTTGCACTCCTTCGTAGGCACTACACTACCAGAGCTCCCAGTAACACCACAGACAGTACATACAGGTAACAAAGAAGGTAGGAAATCAAACACAGACAAAAGACATCAAGCTGCCCTGTGAGAGTTAACAAAGGACGCAGACTGTTATTTATTATGTTGAGTCTAGTGATTTGTTTACTCTTTGTCTTCTCTTTAAGGTCCTTGATGACTTCAGAGCATCACCTTTCTCTTACTCATCAGTGTGTCCCTCAAAGTCCAGTGTAGCACTTAGGGTTCATTAGGCGTTCAGGAAATATTTGTTGAGTGAAAGAAAGATGACTGTGTCCTCAGTCTTTGGTCTTTGAAGACAATTCCAAAAGCAGAGTTTGCACACTGGAAAAATGGTTGGTAATTGTTTTGAAAGAAATCATACCTAGTACACTTGTTTTCAAGTTACACAAATGCCCAGACAGAGGAGTCCTGGGTGTCGCGGATAGGTAAGCACTCTGCTGCTAACCAAAGATTGGTGGTTTGAATCACCCCGAGGCGCCTGTGAAGAAAGGCCTGGTGACTACTTCTGAGAGATCCCAGCCACTGAAAACACAGTGGAGCCCGTTTCTGCTCTGAGACCCATGAGCCTGTACGTCTTGGTTGAACCGGTCTTGGAAATGGGAGCACTTTGGTGCACAGAGCCCTGCCTCATCCTTTCCAGGCTGCCAGGAGGTCCATTTATTGAATAGTCCACGTTTACCTGAGCTACCCCTTGTCTAGCTACTGCAGTCTTGACCAGGCAGCTTAACCTGGTAACTTGTTGTATGGAACCTTCTGCCAAAGCAAAACAGAAGAAACTCATATAAGCAACCAACTTGACTGTGTGGTTCTCTTAAATTCATTTTCGGTCTTCTCTTAGAAAGATCTATCACTGTAGGATGATTATGGGATGGAGGAGAATTAGATTTCTGGGAATAGTGATGGCTTCCTGTGGAATAAAGCCCCCCTCCCTTCCTCTTCATCCCCCCACCCTCCCTGGCTTCCTTCTCTCCTTCCCTCCCTCTCCTTCTTTATTCTCTTTCCCTTTCTCTCTCTTTCTCCCCCTCCCCCCTTCCCTCCTTTCCACTTTCTCCTCCCTCTTTCCTCTGCCTTCCTCCCTCCCCTCCCTCTTGCTTGTTGTTGTTGTTATTTGCCATCTAGTCACATCCTCCTTGCTTGGGACACTCATTCACACCTGAGTGTCTGCCTTGCCTTGCGCCTGATTGGCCAGCATAGGCCTGGGTGGTGGTTTGCTCCCGGAAGCTGGGATGGGAAGGAGGGATGGGCTCCTCAGGCCTCCGTGTGTCTCTGGCCTTTGTACAGATACAGACAGGTGCCAGCAGGAGTGAGTTACTAGAAGTGAAACTTGCCCTTAGCAGCGGCAGTTACTGGAACAAGGATGCCATTAAGAAGGAGCATTGTGTCTCCTCATGGAAATTTGAGCTGCTGAGGCAGGCAGCTCCCTGGTTCGCTCAGCTGTAGGTTAGTGATGCGCAGGGACCTTGTCTGCCCAGCTCTGTGTCCCGTACCCCCCCCAGGGGCCTGGCCTGCAGGAGGAAGGGGACCAGGAGGGTCTGCGGGGGACCAGTAATTATGTAAGTTGTAATTGCCTGTCGGCTTGGTTTCGCTTCACCGGGCGTAGTCTCCAGGGTCTGGCATGGTTGGTCTCGTCCTCCTGCCTGCGGGCTCTTGTCATTGCAGCGTTCAGGGGACTTGTAATCCCAGAAACGCCTTGTTTATACGTTGTCTCAAAGTCCCAGCTGCCTTTTTTTTTTTTTCTTTTGAGGGTTCTCAGGGCAGCTTTGTTGCTTTGTTTTGCCGTGTGGTTCAGCATCCTAGGTGACCCGGGAAGGATGTGTGGGTGGGCTCTGGCAGAGACTGAGGTGAGGGGCACTTGGGGTCAGGCATGCTGACCCTTTGCTGGGTTATATTGGCTCTGAGGTACCATCTTTCTAGCTTGGTCGTCTAATGTGTGCTGAAAAGGAGAGCCAGGGGTGGAGAGATCTTAAGCCCCTTCTCCTTTATGTAATAATCTTTGGGGATAACCGGCAACTTGGACAGCACGGGGTGGCAGAAAGACACTCGGTGATGGACTAAGACAGGTACCGCTTGAGGCCAGCCACGGCTGTTTCTCACATCACCGTACATGGGTGCTTCATTCATTCCCTTTTCTCACCTGTACAACTGGGATAATAATAGTCCTGCCTATGTATTTACCTTTGAAACTTAAATCTTATTATTTTCAGTTGAATCCCACTTCTAAAAAGAAATAATTCAAGTTCAGGGAAAAAACATCTTTTAATTGGACGACCGCTTTTTAGCAGCCTCATGATTCTCCACCCCAGGCAAGGGTGAAGCCCATGTACGGTCCTGACTGCGTGAAGACCTTCTAGGAAAAAACCATCCTTGATACAGATTTCCTGGAAAGGAAGATCGTACAGATGTGGGCATGGCCTTGACAGTGTGGGTTGTGTCTTCCCCACAGGTGCTGCGAGTGGCTGAGATGCTGTGGTGGAGGGGAGCCCAGGCCCCGCACGGTCTGGTTGGGGCACCCTGAGAAGAGGGACCAGCGGTACCCTCGAAATGTCATCAATAACCAGAAGTACAACTTCTTCACTTTCCTTCCTGGGGTAAGTACAGGCAGAGACCATGCCCTTTTAAACCTCCCACTTCAGACACACGTGATGGGACCAGTCTGATGTTTTATAAACATCTTGGGTCTTCTGCATGCCTCTTTAACCGCTGGCCCCCCATCTTTCCTGAGGACCTAGACGCGGCTGGCATCTTTCTACAAGGCTGCGAGACTCCACCTGGTCAGTCAGAATAACCTCGTATTTATTTATTTGGAGTGAAAAAGATCTTGGAACCTGGCATTATATCCAAAACACTCAAAGAAGAAAAAAGTGATCAGTGCTTGAAATTATTTTTCCTTATCATCATGACACACGTTAAATATAGAAAAGTTAGGAAATAAGAAGAGCTAAGGTAAATATTAATTGTACCACCTAGAGAGGAAAGAAACAAGGAGCTCTGGTGGCCTGGTGCCTAAGGCACTTGACTACTAACCAGAAGGCTGGTGGTTCAAACCCACCAGCCACTCCTCGGAAGGAAGGTTGGGCAATCTACTTCCTTAGTGATACCGCCTTGGAAACCCAAGGAGGGGTCGCTATGAGTTGGGTCCGACTCGACGGCACATAACAACAACCACCCAGAAAGGGGATTTCTGTTACCATTTTTGTTAGTGTAAGTTTATTATTATTTCACTCTGGAGTTTTAGCATCCCCACGTTAAGTCAAACAGATGCAGATACGTGTACTGAGCAAACCTTCCCTCAAATGCACATATAAATAAAATGCCTGGTGTTACCCAGCCTGGTCTCCAAACACAAGGAACAGCAGCAGCAGTTCCAGTGCTGGAAGGAAGAAGCCCACAGTGTCCAGTATTGAGTGTTAATACACATGCACAAATACTTCATCTTGTAGTTGAAGATCAATGTAGATGTTTATTTTAATGGTGACTTTGTCCAACTCACTGCTCGTTGTCTCAACCCACAAACCCCCAACTCTCAGCATCTGGAGACCAGAAAAGGTTTCTTTCTCATTCAGAAAGGGCTGTGGCACTTGGAACCCATGGCCACCAAGCTCTCTGCGTGGCTGGGCGAGAGCAAGCGCCCCGGGCACACCAGCTCTTAACTGCCTTAGCCTTGAGGAGATACATTACTTCCTCTCATTGGCCAAAACTAGTCACGTGGCATCAGTATCAGCCGCCGCCAGGAGATGGGAAATGGAGGGAGCACGGAAGGATGGTCAGACCTCTGCCAGAACTCAATTACCGTATGAGCTTCTGCTGTATCCCTTTAATAGGCTTGACATCATTTTGTGGGTTTTGGATTTTTTTTGCTTCAGCCTTACAGCATAAGCATTTCCCACTAAAACCTCTTGTTATACAACATTTTTAATGACCTAACTGTACTTGAAGGAGGCCAGGTGGCACAGTAGTTAAGCCCTTGGCTGTTAACTAAAAGAAAGGTTGGTGGTTGGAACCCACCATCCGCTCTGTAGGAGAAAGATGTGGAGCCTGTTCCCGTAAAGATGACATCCTTGAAAACCCTGTGAAGTAGTTCTGTCCTGTTGGTCTGAGTTAGAATCATCATGATGGCAATGGATTTTTTTTTTTTTAATTGGGGATTTTCGTGAAAGTTTACTGAGCAAACTCATTTTCCATACAGCAGTTCATACACATTTTGTCTGATGACATTACAATTCCCCACAACGTGACAGCTGTCTTCCCACTTCCTCCCTGTGGTTACTTACCTCTTCCCTGTGTCTTTCCTCCCATGCACTCCAGACCCCCGAGCTGTCTCCCTGTGCATACACTGCCTTTCTGTTCTCCCATGATTGATCTCTCCAAGGAGGGTATCTGTCTAATGTAAATGTTCAGCTCATATGCCTGTCTGTTATTTGGCTGGAAGCCACAGACATGGGTTCAATTCCAGACCTCAAGGGCAGCTAGGGGCCATAGTCTCAAGGGTCTTTCTAACCAGGCTCTATCAGACCAGCAAACCTGAACTTTTTTTTTTTAATTTTGTTCCACATTGTTCTCCCTCTCTATCCAGGATCTCCGGCATAGATCCCCTTCTGAGTGGTTGATAGTGGTAGCCAGGCACAATCTAGTTCTTCCGGTCTCATGGTCATACAGGCTGAGGATCTCATGGTCTACCAGTCCCTTGGACTAGTTGTTTCCAAGTATCTTTGGTTTTCTTCATTCTTCTTTGCTCTGGATGAGGAGAGACCCATGGTCGCTTGCAAACTTTTAAGACCACAGTTGCTAGTCACCAAAGTAGGATATAGAATAATGTTTTTGTGTAGTATGTTATGATGGCAATGGATTTTGTTTGCTTACCTGGACTTAGAAATTACATAGGTTAAGAAATACAATGTAACAGATGTTGGGATGCTCCCTGGGTGCCCTCCTGGAGCTACACCCCTTCTCCTGCCTTAAATTTGGTATTGATAATTTCTTTGCCTATTGTTAACTGAGTTTTTTTATTTTTAACTTTTATGATTTATATTTTTGTTGATCTGTATGTTTCTCTAAACAGCATATGTCCATTTTTAAGCTGTGTACGAAAGGTATCATGTCAGTTGTACTGTGGTGTGGAAATGCTTCTAAGTATTACTCACCTCTCTCAACATGTTAAACCCTGTTAGACGGAGCCCAAGTATAACATCTCTCCCCCTGACTCTTTCTGCATCCCAGGTGCTGTTCAACCAGTTCAAGTACTTTTTCAACCTCTATTTCTTACTTCTCGCCTGCTCCCAGTTTGTGCCTGAAATGAGGCTCGGCGCTCTCTATACCTACTGGGTGCCCCTGGTGAGTAAATCGACGTTGCTCTTCAAACCACAGAAGTTTAGAAGCAGGAATTTCTTGGATTCTCTGACATGAGTGTGTGGGATAGACTTTAAAAAAAGAAAATTACATTTTCAGTGCGTGGTTACACAGTAGGTTCCCATTTGACAATTTCGACACAGGTTCAGTGACATTAGTTACACTTTCCACAATGTGTCAACATTCTTTAGTTGGATTCCAGTTCTTCCATTTCCAGTTTCTAGCTTCCCTGTCCTCTGGGTTCTCAGTTTTGCTTTAGAGTAATTGTTGACCTTTTGGTTTAAACAAATGTTTTTCGAATAGAGCTACATGCTCATGGGTAGTAGTCTTTATTTTGTCTGCCAATCTTTTATTTTGCTACGAGGTGATAGTTTCAGTGTGAATAGGCTAGTGACTTTGTAAGGGAGGAGATGCACTCAAGGTAACACACTGGGAGTCCCTGAGACTTTAATGTTGAAGCTTCATGCTCTGTACCACCAGGACGGCAGTGTGGCAGAGCCTGTGCTGGTCACGCTGTATCCTGTCTTACGTGACTTCAACATGCATTAAACTGTGTGCTTGCTTTTGTTGTCAAGGTCCTGGGCTCTGAAGACATGGGTGAATGAGGGAGACGGAGGGCCTCAATGAGTTGTGTTATTGGAATGTTGTCTGAGATAGTGTTTTCTGTTTACTCTGTTTAGAGTATTTCTGTGTGAAGGGTTGGCGAAGTGATGGGACGTTGCTTTGGTGTGTGCTGAGGGTAGCATGGTAGACCAGCTGCTCTGTTCCTTCTATCACTTCCTTTTTTACCTTCTGTTTTGGTTATCTTGTGCTGCTCTAACAGAAATACCACAAGTGGGTGGGTTTAACAAACAGGAGTTTATTCTCTTACAGTTTGGGAGGCTGGAAGTCCAGGTTCAAAGTGCCAGGCTCTAGGGGCTGGGTGAAAGCCCCTCGACCTTGGGCTTCAGCTCTGCCTGTTTCTCCCCACCCATTGAAGCTGGAGGCGTCTCTTCACTCAGGCAGCTGCTGGCTGCTAAGGCTGACAAACCCAAAGTCGACAAGTAAAAGGGCTCAGCTTGATACTACCAAACCATGTGGCAGGCCATTGATTCAAGTCCATTAAGAGTCCCAAGATCGGCAGACAATGTGGCAGGCTGCTGAACGGCTCAGCTCCAGGCAGGATTCAAGCTAAAAGCTACAGACCATTCCTAAAGCTGCTGCTTTTATCCTGGGAGCAGACCACATCCCTAAGGCAGCTACTCAGCTACTCACAGTAGATTCCGCCATGGGACTGGTGACCAGTCTCATCACGGATAACTACATCCAGCTGTCATGCCACTCAAAACCAGGCCCAGCCACGGTAGCACACAGTCTTAACTACCACACCCTCCTTGCCTTTGACAAATGGTTATTGAGCACCTAGTGTGTGCTACACACTGGACTGGCTACCAGAGATGTAGCAGTGAGCAAAAGTCCAGACATCGTGTCCTCGTGGAGCTGTCATTTGAAAGGGGATAAACAATAAGCAGATAACTGAGCACGGTTTTAGGTTGTGAAGAGGGTGATGAAGGGAGTAAGATAAGGTCATAGGATACGCAGGGTATCCCAGGTCCATAGCCAGTGTTCTGGTGATGGATGAAGGTGTATGTGTATATTAGGTGCTGTTGAGTCAGTTCCAATAGCAACCCTGTGTACACAGAACAGAGTGTTCCCCGGTCCTACATCATCTTCACAACTCTTGCTGTGTTTGAGCCCATTGTTACGGTCACTGTGTCGGTCCATTTCGTTGAAGGTCTTCCTCTTTTTGCTGACCCTCTGCTTTACCAAGCACTGTGTCTTCCTTCAGGGACTGGTCCCTCCTGATAAGATGGAGGGAGGGGTGGGAAAAGTAAAGGACAGCCTTGGCCAAGGTGCCTGTGAAAGGTGTTTTGAGGTGATCTGGGAAAGGGATAGCAGAGTGGGGAGTGTTCTAGGCCTAGAGAACAGAGATGCAAAGGCCCTGTGGTAGACATGCTTAGAGTCGTTCAGCAACAGAGAAGTCCAGGGTTGCCTGGGGTGTGGAGAGAGTGGAAGTGATTGTTTCTTTCTTTCTTCTCCAAATAGAGACGTTAAATATAATTGCTGCTTATTTCTAACCAAGTTCAAAATTGGATTCTTTGTTTACAAGCCTTGTTAAATTTTAATCAAGATTTTTAAAGTAGAAAAGATTTAAGACTTTGTTTTGGTTACCTTGTGCTGCTCTAACAGAAATGTAGACGGATTTAAGGGAAGGAGGGTGTGGTAGTTAAGACAAACCAACCCTAGGTGGACAAGTGATACGGCACAGTCCCAAAATTATCAAACCACATGGCAGGCCACTAATTCAAATCCATGAACGTTCCAGGATCAGCAGACAACATGACAGGCTGCTGAACGATGGCTTGTCTATATGCAAGATTCAAGCATGCCACAAGCTGCAGAGACTGTTCTCAAAGCTGCTTCTTATATATGGGAAGCAGACCACATGCCCAAGACAGCGGCTCCAGTAGATTCCACCCTGGAGTTGATTCCTAATCTCACCGTGGGGAATAACTACATCCAGCTGCCTAAAACCAAAAAACCAAATTCACTGGCCTTGAGTCAGACCCGACTCATAGCAACCCCTCCTTGGGTCTTTGAGGTGGTATCTCTACAGAAATAGATTGCCCAGCCTTCTTTCCCAGGAGTGGCTGGTGGGTTTGAACCATCAGCCTTCTGGTTAGCAGTCAGATGCCTTGGACACTACACCACCAGAGCTCCCTAGTCACTCAAAACCAGGTCCAGCCAAATTGACACACAATTTGACTACCACAGACTTCCTTAAACAAAACAATTTTTTTTAACTTATTTTTTTGGCAGTAGATGGGAGATTATAAAGATTTGGTGGAGAGGCATTTGTGGAGTGGGGGTGGCCAGCCGCTGAGGGACCTGTGAGCAAACGTACATAGACCACACATGCCAGATGAGTGGACAGGTTGACTTAGCGACCAAACCCATTGATTGCTGTTGAGGCAATTCTGACTTAGAGCAACCTTGTAGGACAGAGTAGGACTTCCCCATGGGGTATCCAAGCTGTCATCTTTTTTTTTTTTTTTTTTTGTGCTTATTTTTTTTTTTATTAGGATTTGGGTGTAGATTTACAGAGTAAATTCACTTTTCATACAGCAGTTCACATATACTTTGTCTCATGTCATTGACCAAAATTTACAATGCAGCAGCTCCCCTCCCACTTTCTCCCCATAGTTACCTCCTCCCAGTGTCCATCCCTTCATACTCTTCGAGAGGCCCATTGTCTGCCAACCCTGTATATGATCTTGGATACACTCTCCATTTAGACATACATAATTGTTTAGCTTGTTCACCCATCTATCCGTCCCTACACCCATGTTTGCTTTCATTAACAACTCAGTATTGTATTTACAAAGGGGTTCATATTTGTTGTTTGTACTGCCCATGTAACTCTCTCTGTCTTTCTCATCCTCAATGCTGCCATATTGGTCACTCACATTTGGTACATTGCCCTTCTCTTCACCCAAATCAATATTTATCTCTATCTATCTAACAGCATTCCCTCCCCTCCCCTCCCACCCCTGGTAACCAACAAAGAAAATGTCCTCCAATATATAAACCTTTCCTTAACTTTCACAATAACGGACTAATACAATATTTGTCCTTTTGTGACTGACTTATTTCGCTCAGCATAATGTCCTCCAAGTTCATCCACGTTATGCGGTGTTTTGCAGAGTCTACATTATTCTTTAGCGTTGCATAGTATTCCATTGTGTGAATGTACCAAAGTTTGGTTATCCATTCCTCAGTTGTTGGACATCTAGGTTGTTTCCAAGTTTTGGCTATTGTAAATAGTGCTGCGATGAACATCGGCGTGCATATATCTGTTCTTGTTATGGCTCTCACTTCTTTAGGGTATATACCTAGTAATGGGATGGCTGGGTCAAATGGTATTTGTATTTCCAACTTTTGAAGGAATCGCCATACTGCTTTCCACAATGGTTGTACCATTTTACAGTCCCACCAGCAGTGTATGAGAGTCCCAATCTCTCCACAACCTCGCCAGCATTTGTTATTTTCTGTCTTGTTGAACTTTGATACTAGTCCAAGCTGTCATCTTTATGGGAGGAGATGACCAAGTCTTTTCTCCCACAGAGTGGCTGGTGGGTTTGAACTCCCGACTTTTAGGTTAGCAGCCAAGGGATGAACCACTGTGCTGCCAGGCCTCCTCCTGAGAAGAGAAGGGAACTTGGTTTTCTCCACAAAGACAACAGATGTGCTTTTGGGTTGTGAGAACATTCTTTCCTGCTCTGATTAATCTGTGGGTGAGATAAGGTGCTGGACACTGGAGAGGAGGTCCAGCCTGGCCTTCATCCCATTGGATGGCAGACATTCTTGTCTGGGTCAAGCAAGTTGGTGGGCCCATAGACAGTGAGCCTTGTGATTGTCACAAAGCTGTTGTCTTCACCGTGCAAACTCGTGTGTCCAAGCCCAACCCACTACTAGCAAGTCGATTCTGACTCATAGTGACCTGTGAGTCAGAGTAGAACTGCCCTGTAGGGTTTCCAAGGCTGTGGTCTTTATGGACGCGAACTGCCTCATCTCCTGCAGAGTAGCTGGTGGATTCAAACTGCCGGCCTTTTGGTTGGCAGCTAGGCACTTTAACCAACGCGCCACAAGGGCTCCTTTATCTGACAATAAGGGCGAATATATGTTAAATTTCTCTGTTAAAAACAGCTATAACTATATGGGTGGGAAGGTGTGGGGGAGTATAAAACCTCTTACTGTCGAGTTGATGTTGACTTAGAGACCCTGTAGGACAGAGTAGAACTAACTGCCCCATAGGCTGTAATCTTTACAGGAGCAGAGTGCCACATCTTTGTCCCATGGAGTGGCTGGTGGGTTTGAACCACCGATCTTTTGGTTAGGAGCCGAGCTCTTAGCCACTGAGCCACCAGGGCTCCTAGGATGTTCCT